CCCGAGTCGTGAGATCATGACCTGAGCCGAAGGCGGACGCTCAACCGACTGAGCCACCCAGGTGCCCTGACAATGTTTGCCTTTTAACTGAGGTGTTCACACAATCTACCACCAATGTGATTACCGTCATCACTGAATCATCTTGATATGTTTCCTATCCATCCTATTTGTTCTTTAATCTGCTTATTCTTTTTCTATTTTCTTCTGGGTTAACTATATTGCTTTTATGATTCCATTTTATGTCCTTTGTTGGCTAATGAAGTATATACCATGTTATTTTAATGACTGCCTTAGAGTTTATAATACACATTTTCCCTCATCAAAGTTCAAATGCATTCTGTCCATTCACATATAGTATAAGAGGCTTACTACAGTAACACATTTCTCCCTCCTACATTTTGTTATCTTTTACCTCACAACAGAGTGTTACCTTTTTTTGCTTTAAACATCCAGAGTATATTTTAAAGAGACAAATAACAATAAAAGTAATTTATATTTACTCACATAATTGCCATTTCTGGTGGGTTTGTTTTTGTTTTTTGTATAGATCCAAACTGCCATTTGGTATAATTTTCCTTCTTTTTACATTTCTTATAACACAGGTCTGCTGGTAATAAATCTTCTCTTCCCACCTTTTGCATATCTGTGGAGTATTTCACCTTCATTTTGAAACAAACATTTAGTGGGTATTTAATTCTAGACGAGTTTTCTTCTCTCGGTACGTGAAAGATGTTGTGTCACTATCTTCTGCCTTGAGTCGTTGCCCATGAGAAACAGTGGTGACCACTGCCATCCTTATCTTTGTTCCTCTGTGCGTACTTTTCTTTTCCTCTGGTTATCTGTCACGTTTCCTCTTTTTCGCTGGTTTCAGACAATTCCATTTTAATTTGTCTCATTCTAATTTTCTTCATATTTCTTATGTTCAGGGTTTGTTGAGCTTCTTAAATGTATGCATTTTACAGTTTTCATCAAATTTAGACATTTTCCAGCTGTTGCTTCTGGCTATTAATCCCATCCAGGGTATCTTTCATCTCAAACATTGTAGTTTCAATTTCTACAAGTTTGATTTTGATCTTTCTCCATCTTCCATGTTTCTCCCTAACATACTCAGTCTTTTCTCTAGCTTCTTGAACATATGGAATATAGTCATAGAACTGCTTAAGATATCTGTTCACTAATTCTATCGTGTGTCATT